CCAAATAAATTATAAAATTCGAAAATACAACACAAGCAACAAAATAATGAAATTAAAATAGGTAAAGTGACTTCCCAAGGTGTGCAAGTTAGTTTAAGGGTGTGCAAGTTAAGGTATAGTTCATTTATAATTTTTTTATTAAAAAAATAGAATCATTAATTTTTTGAAATTTTGAAAAAAAAAGATTATTTTTAGTTTAATTATTAATTATAATTTCGAAGTTATTACTAAATTATACTTTAACTTGCACACCTTGTGACGTTGCAATTTTTAACTTTCACACTTCGAATACAATTAATTAAGCAACAATTTCGGGAAAGCGACCCAATGGAAATTATCGAAGGACCAGTTCTGGACAACAGTACACATCGATTTGTAACAATGAACTGCACCTATTAAACAGACTATTTGTTATTGTTTGCTATAAAATGGCACAGAGAAAAACATAATGTTTATCATACTTCTTCTTGTCGCTTTAAATTACGCTGACACAAGAGACATCGACATTTATTCACGTCTTGAAACAAAACAGTTTTTTCATTAAACACATAGACAAACCATTACCCAATTTTTATAATTTAATTTGCTTTTTGTAGTTAATTAATTCAAGCACCAAAGGGTTGTGTGTTTTTTGAAACAATTTGGAAACGAATAACATTTTTTAATAAAATGTTTTTCAACTAAAATTTAGTCTTGCACGCCCTTTCCCTGTAAAAAAGACTAAAAATTTTAACTTGCACACCTTGGGGAAGTCACTTTATTTTCACTTTATAATAAAAACAATGACAGTTTAATAATGCCTTTTAATACTTTACTTAATGTCGGAATAGTGTTTGACAATATACGTTTAGATGGTGAATCTGCATTGAACAGCACTTATATGTCAAATTATTTCGATAAATTAAATATATGAACATATTCATCTTCATCCAAACATATTAATAAAAACAGAGTTGTAGATCGAGTTATCAGAACAATTAGAACTGCTTATGATAATACAAGGTCGATATATGTAAACAAAAATCAAGATATACTTATTCAAGAAATTGTAACTTACTATAATTTTTCAAAACATAATAAAACTGGTTATCGATTTATTGATATGCAATACATACCTAATTACAACAATATGTATAAATGCTATCAACTTGAATATGATTATATTAAACAAATGGTTAAGAAGAATGATGAAATATTATATAAACAATTTGAAAATGGATTTTTATATTATAAATATGGAGACAAGTTAATAATATATTTAAATAATAGTAAAGACAATACTTTCAGAAAGACAAGAAATTATTTTAGTACTAAAGCAACAATGATAAGATATGATCATGGTAACATAGTATGTAAACTTGATGATAATGATAAAATTGTAACAATTCCTTGTTATTTTGCACTTCGTGATTACATATAATTTATAATAATAATAAAGTTGAATCGAATATAATCGACCAAATCTAATTTACAATTTAAGTTATTTATGTATATGTTTATTTTTGTTCTATAAAATGAGAAAATTATACATGAATTTACATAATAATAATTGCAAAGTAATAAATACATATCAATTTGAAGTTGAATTACCAATTAAATTTGTTTGTTCTACTAATAATAAATATAGTAATACTATTGCTACCAGATTCTATAATTCATTGGGTCAGATTGATTGTGGAAATATTTTAAGAAGTGATTTGAATTCAAGTAATGATTATCCTTCAATAGGAGGTTAAAACTACTGTTTGCGAACTACCTATTCGCTACCTTACTAACAAAAACCCAAATAAGGGGTTCTTTTTGTCGTCTTGGATTTTACATAGTTACCAAAAAAATATATTTACGTAAGTATGGTGTTCGAGGGTCGCCCGTTTTCGTGCACCCCTAAATTTTAGGTTCTTCTATAGATAAATTAAATCTTTGTTAATAATTATTTAATACTGAATCTGCTTTCTTGTCGATATAATTTGTAATCTTTTTTAAAGTATTTAGTAATATATCTTGCTTGTTTTTAAGAATATCTATTTCTTCTTTTAATTCTTCTATTTCTTCGGAACTATATTGTTTATCTTTATCTTTATCCAATAATTTATTTTTTAATTCGTTATATTGTTTATTAGATATTCTTGTTCTTTTCTTAACCAATTGTTGTTTTCCTTTATCTTTATCATTTAGATCTTTGGTTTCTATATTATTTACATCTGGATTATTTAAAATGTATCTGTTTATTTCTTTATTACATTGTTTTAATTCTTTGTTATCTTTAAGATTATATTTATTTACTATACTTTGTAAGAATGATATATAATTTATTGGAGTAACTTTCTTATTTGTATCTATTGGTTTGGATTCTTTATGTTTAGATTCTTCGGGGACATAGTCTACTTTAGGAACTTCGTTCCGTTCGAAATATTTATTAATTAATTCCATTTATAATAATATATAAACATTATTAATTATACATAATTATAACCATATTTTAAAAAATGTGTAACTTATGGGTAACATCTATGTAACATAAAGGTAGTTTGGTGTTATAAGTATGTTATATTATATATTAGATGTAACCATATAGTTTGGAATATAATTTTATTTTTTCTTTTCTTTTTCTTTTTTGTTTCCTTAAAATGGTTAAAATTTTTTATAATAGTTTAGAAATCGAAAACATTGAAGATAAGATTACTATTAAAACATTAAGAAACAAAACATATAATTTTTCCACAAAAGAAGGAAAATATTCTTATACTTTTCCAACATTGTTTCTCCAAAAATATAAAACCATTTATTACGGTTATCTTAATAAAGAATTTATAAAAATGTTATTAACATCTTTATTGTGGATCTAAAGATCCTAACAAATGTTTTATGGATTTAGATATTATATAATCTAGCTTTATGTTTAGATGGTGTGGTTTTAAAAGGACCAGAGATAACATTAAAAGCAATTTTATTTTTAAATTTATCTTCTACAATTAATTTTAACCAATAAGATATAGAATAATTATCTTCTTTAGTAATTCCATCTTTAGTTGTTATTTTTGCTTTAATAATTCCACTATTCTTTAATAATTTATATCCAACTATATTAATATTATCTCCTTCGTTAACTTCGTCGTCTAATTTTTTAGAATCTTTTAATGTTAAATAAGGTAATTCTTTTAATATGAAACTATTTAGTGTTTCTTGTATTTGTTCTGTTTTATTGGTTTTAGCTTCTACTATTTCTACTTTTGCACATTTATTTTTCGAAGAAGATGTAAATGTACCAGTTTTACATTTTGTTAATATTGGGTTACCACTAATAGAACCTCTTGCTATAATTCCATATATATCTAATTTCTTATAATAATTTTGGCCTCTATTTAAATATGTTGTTAAATTAGTAGTAGACCAATATAAATATAATTCTGTTTCTTCTGTTATTATGGGATCTTTAGAACAAGCCAATAAAAGAGTATCTCCAAATCTAGATTTTGTTTCTTTAAATCCATAAACATATTATGTTGTGTTATCTTCTAATTCTATAAACTACTTACTATATGCTTTACAATTTTTAAGAATTCCATATATTTACTTTGTTCTATTCCTTCTTCTATTTCTTTATTTTTAGCTTTTAATTCTTCTATTTTATCTTTATTAACAATATTAAAAGCTTTAATTAATTCTTGTTCTTTAATATCTTTATTAATTGTTCTTATTGATAGATTGTCGTCTAAATACTTTAATAATTCCATATTAAATTCTTTAAATACTGTTGTATAATTAGTTGTTTTAATTAGAGATATGGTTTTCTTGGATAATTTAAAATTAAGCGTCTTATTTGGAGTTAAACCAACTTCTTCCGGTTGTTTACGAAAAGCATCGTCTTTATAAGAAGTTGTATGTAAACATCATCAGTAATTATGTAATTACAATCAAATATTTTAAAAATCAAACCAGATGGTATATGATTCTCTACAAAAACAAAACATCTTTATCTAATCAAACACAAAATATTATTCAATTCATATTTTTTATCAAAATTATAACATAATCAATTCGTTGCTCTTTTATAATCTTTATTTGGTGTTTTTGTGATGTATTATAATATATGAAAATTATATACAAAAAGTGTGCCAGTTCAAATATTAATTCGTAAATTACAAAAACTACAAGTTTGTTGGTAAACATAGAAAAAAAGAAAATAAAAATATTCAATTGTAGGATTAGGTGGATCTAAGAGTGTGTTTCTGAAAAATTGAGAAAAATCAGAAACAATTTCTGTGTTGTAAGAGGTTATTTGTGTTGTTTTGAAGTTATTTGTTTTGATCGAAATAATTTAAAATTGTTTAGTTACAGTTCGTATTATTAAAAATAATCTAGATGTCGTATTTTTAACATGATGTATTTTTAGAACTGATCTGTTAATTAATTGAATAATATTTAACAATTTATTTGTTCAGAATAATATAAAATTTGTCTGTTTATTTATAAAATGCTCTATTTTTAAGAGTTGCGACCCGATTTTGTGGCCTAAAAAGATTTGGCGCATCCATAGTAATTTGGAATACCCTGGTGCTACACAATTTATTGTCTAATTCTCATTTGTTTATTATTTTTATTAATCATTTAATAATGTACGTTACTCGTTATAAAGTAAATTGAATCAACCCTAATTTTAGTTTAAAATGTAAATCTCTTTTTTAGCGAAAAAAGAATTAATTTCCAAATAAAAAAATCGTTAGAATTTAAATTTATTTTTTTATTCTACAAATCGATTTTGACGAAAAAATGCAATTAATTTTGATGATTTCATTATTTTTATATTTCAAAAGACGTTTTTAAACAAAATATTGAATTAAAATATCTTTAAAATAACAACAAACCTAATATTTCAAACATCACTTTAAACTATAAATTCAAAAAGTTGACTTTTAACTTAAAAAAAACAAATGGAAGTTGTAATTCCAATATCTATTATAAAAAATATTGCATCAAAAAGTGATTTACAAACTTTTCTGCGTATTACAGAAACGTGTAAATTATATAGCGATTTACAAAACGATGATGAAATATACGCTACTTTAAGTCACAATGAATTTTTATCTCGAAATGATTGCATCAAAAATATGTCTAAAAATAATGTTATCGTTACAAACGCGGTAATTCAAATGGCATCTGACACTATTGCATGGGAAAGGACATTACACAATCAAATGAAAGTCGTTTTAAAAACACTTTTTACAAATCACATTATGCATTATATATGTGTTGTTTGTTTAATTCTATTCAGTGTGTTATACCCACTTTCTCTTGACAAAAACATTTCCACAAAAGGTGGACCAATTTCTTTGTTACTTGTTTTTCCTGTTTTCTGTTTCTTCTTTGGAGTCTATTTTTTCCAAATCTTTGTATTCTACAATTCTTTTAGTGACTGTGGTCACCCCTTTTTCGTGTTAACATCGACTATTTTTTATCCAATATCATTTATTGGACATTTTGATAATGTTAATGTCACGTTCTTTATACCTTTTATACTGCTTTGCACTTGCATTTTGTTTGTGTTATTTTCATTTGATTATATTCAAATACAATACGTAATACTTCCACAACTTTTGTAT